CAACAAGACTCAACTCCTATTCCCTCAAGCTAGGGTTAAACCAAACACTTACCTCGGTCCCAAGAATAGCAATCAACCTTCAAAGACCGCCTTTCCTCTACAATCCGACTCCGAAACAGTGATATCTAGGCATGATTAATTCAATAATATCAATAAAGACTCGATGGCAACATCCCATAGCCTAGATATGAATTTTCTAGCATTCTTCCAAAAATACCAAAATTAGACACCGGGCCCACATGGTCCAAACTCGAGGCTCGGACCAAAACCCGATCACCCATAACCCCACGAGTCCAAATACATAATTTGTTTTAAGATTCGACCCCAAATTGAGGTTGAATCACCCAAAATTCTCAAAACCCTAACTCTACCCATAACCCTTAATTTCTACTTTGATTTCATGATTTAGGCTTAGAAACTTGCTAATTAATGAAGGAAAAGTGAAGGAAATAAGTGGGAAATTACTTACTCAAGTGGTCTTGAAGATTGGGGGCTTTAATGGCTTCCTAAAGCTTGGGAGAGAAGAGGGCTCGTGAGAAAGGTGAAGAATTCCCGAGTGTACTGGTTCTGTTTTTTTTTAGGCTTTAAAATAACTGGGCGGATTTGCCCTACGCGATCGCGGATATAGGGATGCGATCGCGAAGGGTTACACAGAATGGTCAACGCGATCGCGTGGGTTGTAATGCGATCGTGTAGGGGAATACTGGGGGGTCCAAAACTTGGTCAATGCGAACGCAAACCTACTGGTGCGAATGCATTGAAGGAAATGCTAAGGCAGTGCGATCGCGTGATCAAGTACGCGAACGCGAAAGAGTAAAGAGCCAAAGGAACGCGATCGCGGGCTGAAGATTGCGATCGCGTAAGAGGAAATCACTGAGCAAAAATTGCAGAATTTTCTGCTATGTTTTTCCTAAGTCAAAACATCCCGAAACACCTCCGAAAGCACTCCCGAGCCCTCGGGGCTCCTAACCAATCACACACACTAACTCAATAACATCCTACGAACTTACTCGAGCGATCAAATTGCAAAAATAACATCAAATCATTGAATCAAGCCTCAAAATCATCATTTCTATTTCAAACTTCATAAACTTCCAACTTTGGATAATTAGGTCCGAAACACGTCCAACGACGTCCGATTTCGACCAAACTTCACAGAAAGCGCTTAAACAATATATAAGACTTGTACCAGGCGTCGGAACCAAAAATACGAGCCCAATACCACAATCTTTTAATAAATTTTCATTTCCATTTTCCTTATTAAATTTAGAAAAACAATTTCACAGAAAAATTCTTTCCTCGGGCTCTAGACCTTGGAATTCGACTCCGGGCACATGCTCGAGTCCCATATTTTTCTACGGACCTTCCGGGACCGTCCAATCTCGGGTCCGGGTCCGTTTACCAAAAATATTGACCAAAGTCAACTGTAATCATATTAATGTCAAAATTCTTCAAATGTTTCACAGAATTCACATATTTCAACATAAAAGCTTTCCGGCTATGCGCCCGGACTGCGCACGCAAATCGAGACAAGTAAAAATAAGGTTTTCAAGGCTTCGGAAGCACGGAACGAATGAGGAAACAAGTCTTGGGTCGTCACAAGTTCTTGCGCCAACTCTTCAGATGGTGGAATCGGTGAATGATTACATGGTTTCTCTCGACAATAGTCGGGATAAGTCATATTTAAGTTCTGATACAATTTGCATGTCTGATCATGCATTTACATCTTTGGAACATGTACATACACCTGAATTCCTAAATAGTATTAAATGTTCAGGTATTCCAAATCACTCTATCAGTTTGAAGGTAGGTGTTCTTGTGATGTTGTTAAGAAATATAGATCAATCATCAGGATTGTGCAATGATCATCACAAGGCTTGGAAATCGGGTACTTGAAGCCAAAGTATTATCAGGAAAAATGGCTGGAGACAAAGTTTTTATACCAAGAATGACACTTACTCCATCTGATGCAAGAATTCCTTTTAAGTTCCAAAGAAGGCAATTTCCAGTCATTGTATCGTTTGCCATGACCATCAATAAAAGCCAAGGTCCGTCATTATCTAATGTGGGATTATTTTTCAAGAAGCCTGTGTTTACTCATGGACAACTATACGTGGCACTTTCAAGAGTAACAAGCAGAAAAGGGTTGAAGATCATATGTTATGATGGAGATGGGAAAATAACAAATGAAGCTACAAACGTAGTGTATAAGGAAGTTTTCCAAAATTTAGAGAATAGAAGTTTTTAATAAGTATGACTGAGCAGCCCGTCAATGTACATACTCAGTATATAGTTGGTCATACTACAGACAAACAAAGAATTGGATGAGGTAAACATTCTTCTAAATTTAATTTACTTTGATATATCCTGTTATAACTTAATTGTTTTTTAATCACAGGGAAGTACTTTTATTTATTAAATTTTACATCTATATTTGCAGTTAATCACTTCATTTAAATTGTGGATTTGCACGAATATGAATTTTCCAGGCGACTCAGAACAATGGATCGCCTTCAACAGGTAATGAAGTGCTAACTTGAGAATAGTAATTGATGGAGTGCTGTTACAATTGAAAATCACTTCGACAGTAGACGTTGGAGTAGAACACATTTCCGTGCATTTTTTATATAGAATTCTTTCTGCTTGCTAAAGGTCTGAAACCATAGAACGGAGTGCTTCTGCTGAAATTTTTAATTCTTGGAATGGAATGTTTCTGCTGAAAAATGGAGGTGGACAAAGTGCATATTATATTTCTGTTTGTATGTGTTGCGTGTCTTAAATAGATTCATTTGTTGGACTAACATATTTCCTGGCGAATGCACATATAAAAGGAGGGAGGTAGAAGCACGTTTAGAAGAGAGCTGACAGTGGTCGTGAGCCCCTGACTAAGAAAATATGCAATTTCTATGTTACATTTTTTAGTGAAGTACTCATAAACAGTTATCTCTATGGTCTCTTCTCCATTATCTAGGCCATCACCATTTTTGACTTTCATAGAGAATCTATGTAAACAAAAGTAGATGGTTACATATCTCTGAGTAGTTAGTAATATATATTATGGGACTTAGGTGATTCAAATAGCTTCGTTAGGCGATTTGGGACTTAGGAGTGTGTTCTGAGTGTTATTCGGAGATCCGTGGTAGAATTAAGCTTGAAATTGCGAAATCGCATATACCACGCCTACTCAGTTTTCAGCTTTCACGCTAGGTTGGTGTCTGCATTTATTTATTAGATTCTTATATATATATATTTGTATGATTGAATAAGTGTATGGGGCAGAAAGGATATGGATATAGTAGTAGTTTGGAAAATGTACAACTAGGTATTCTGTACAACTAGGTATTCTTTTTTCCCGTTTTGGCACATTACTCTTCTGGGATTACTTGAAGGGAAGCATTTCTTGGGATTACTTGTTTGCAAGGCATTTTTATTTAAAATTGATCTGCTCTTTAGACTTTTCACCAGTGGTTTAGTTTGTCAAATGTTTTGAAAGTTCATGGGTTAGAGCTACAGTAGTCCAATTGAGATAAATCTTAATGCAGCCGATCTGTAATTCAGTATTCTACTTAAAAAAATTGGAGAATGGATTCCCCCTGGAGACTGTTGTAATTAAATACAAATAAAGTCAAAATTTTAACTCCCCATTGAGGTTTTTTTATGCGGTTTGTCCACTTTTAGCCTCCAGCTACATCTCAAGACTCGACCTACAAATTTTAACGGAGACATCAAATTTGTTTGGTTGGAACAATTTTTGTGATGTAAATGATATAATTCAATTTTTGTATTTTGTGGGCTCTAACTTAATTTAAGTGCCAGGGATGCCCTTTAATGAAATCTTTATTTTATAAAGAAAAATACAAATTTTAACGGAGACTGGATCCAGATCTTCTGTCTAAAAAAGCCATCTGATATGTTGAGTCTGATAGTTGCGGTTGTCGTTTACTAGACCGGTCAAAAAAATTAGGTCTCCGCATTTATCTTGCCTCAAACAAGCAGAGAGTGGTCAAGTTATAAAACAATACGATCTAATTAAGACTGTTATCGTTAGGTGATAAATGTATTTTTTTTTTTAAAAGTTCCAGCTAAAAAAATATCTTTGTTGTATAAATTCAATGGAGATGTTTTTAATTTAGATAATTTTCCTTAATGGTGGACTTTCAACAGCAATAGTAGTTAGAATGGATGTAATAAATGTTGCCATCTTTTTATACAACTATGTATGTGTGGTTGAGGGTTGATTCACATGCAACAATAAAGACAACGTATTTTTCGTAAATCTTCTAACATTTCACATTCTTTTGTTACACTAAGAGTACCAAATGTTGTGCTTATTATTTCATCTAATAGTCTGTACATACATTTATTTCTACAGGTCATAAAAAATAACCTTAAGTATGGAACAGAGAACTTTGCCTCAGCTGTAAAGGAACATGTAGCTTCTCATGAAGGTATTTTTTATTGCAACAACATCAATGGTATGTTTGTAAGTGACATAAAATCTTGATGAGAATTAATATTTTTAATGTATGCATTTTATCTAACACTTAAAACTGTTATATAAATTATGCTAACAAGGATTGGGTGTTTCCAAGATCTTAATTATCCATGTGAGTCGTCGTTTGTATCTTCAACAAACGCGACTAACTTGCTCATATTCTCATATACTTCTTATCCAAAATAAGCCACAACAAAAGGTGATTTCTTAATTAGTGTGGATTACACATATATGTATAACTGTTCTTTGTTTTTTTCTAATTATAAGTTCAGACAAATTTTTGCTTCTTTAGGTGGTCTAATCCATTTTAAAGACATATTTTTACTATATCATTTTTTTCTTTGAAACAATTCGCGCATCGCGCGGGTACGTATACTAGTACAAGTAATAAAGAGGTAGTCGAAGCAGCCTTTGGGTGGAATATAGCCATTATTTTTCTTGAAAAGAAAACTATTCAACAAACTAATACAAGTATTAAAAAGCTAGTCCTAGATTTCCGTTAAGATTGTTGAATAGAAAGTTATTCGCTCATCTTTTTTTCATTATTCATACAAAGTTTAAAATTAAATGACAAATAAATAAGAAAGACGACAAAAACATTTGAAATATCTTAAATCCTACACGAAGATTGATTATCTACACTGTTATACGAACAAGTACAACATATCCAACAATTACTGCAGTCACTATCTGAAGTACAAGGACTAAAACACCAATTAAGTTGAGGGAGTAGCCTCTTCTCGATTATAGAGAGATCATGATCAACATCCAGTGACGTAGCTATGACTTGTGTGATTGAAATCCACGGCACATTAACTGAAATATTTCATCATTATAGTTAGAAAAATCAAATTACGATTGATGCAACATTATAAAACCACTACTAGATTATAATGTACCTAAATACATGAATAAGGCAAACACAATATTGTAGAAGTAGAATCTAGAAATATGTCTAAATAGATGCTAACCAGTTATTACCATAAGGAGAATTGAGAGAATAAAACAAAGCTTTAGGGATGCCATAATAAAAATGATACTCCACACTTTAGAAAAGTTTTTGTTTGAACATCTCTTTGCCTTCCAATGGTCATAATTTATAGCCCTCCCCCCCCCCCCCCCCCTCCTCAAAATGTGAACTAGCTGCATGTGTATGTGTCTCAGCCAACTTGCTCATGCATCAATATGAAAATGTTGTGACTTTTCGAGAATATATATATATATAGTATACATATGACAGTGTTAACTAGTTCCTAATCATAAATTATGCTTCATAGACGGTACCTATAGGTTGTGATTACTTTTGCACATGATTCAATTAATGAACTAACTATTTGTTAATTACTTATTCTACAAGTCTCGACAATAAAGTTATATTAATTAGAGGTAAACGCGGCATGTTATTTTCGGATAGTGCATGTGAGAATGAAAGCATTTCATTCGAGAATTGATGCATTTGCTACTCATTTATAGAGTCATACTGCATTAGTCCATGTGAACTATTAATTGGAGTATTATTTATTTATTTTTTGTTGCAGTAATGTCAACTCAAGGCTGGATTATACTCTCCGACCTTGAACCTAAAAAGAGTCTTTTTTGCTTTCTGAACTTGAAAAAACAAAGAAACAAGTCTAACCTTTTGCTTTTTGCATGTGTTTTGCAATTATTTGTCTACCAAACTTCTATCCTTCCTCACTAATATCTTGGAAAGTAAAGAACCCAAGACCCAAACACAGCTCTCAGAGATTACTTTCTTGTACTATATTCAAGCTAAGTAACAGTTTACCTCTTTGTTAGAGCAAGTTAGGAAGAAAATTTTGGGATTATTGTTGGTATATAACGAGGGAAAAATATCTGTGCAAAATCGTCGTTGGTGAACGAGTGAAAACTAATTTGATCCCTGTAATTGGCGAGCGAGAAAAAATCAACAGCCAAGCGTTAGTGCTGAACTCTAGAAAACCATCAGCTGTAGTCGGTGCGGAGCCACATGTATTCAAGGGGAGTCAACCGACACTCTTTTGTCCGAGAATTACACTAAATAGTTAGGTAAAAATTCTTTTTATGTATGTGTATGTGTGGGTACATATATATTGACATCCTTGATTTTTTCGTGAGTTTACTTCTTTATATTTTAACCCTAGCTCTTTAGTGAAAGTTGTGATTCTAAAGCTGGCTTTACCAACTCAAAAACTCAAGGGAGCTCATAATGCAACTCCTTGTAATTTAAGAAGACTCGATGCAGGCTTGCCGATTATACAAGTTTATCCCATTAACATTACATATAGTTTATTATTTCTTGTGCTTTAAACTTGTATAAATCTGCAACACCAACTCTGTTCAATTGCTGAATTAGTATGTTTGAATACTCAGTATAAATTGACTAAATTTGTTCAATTCAACTGATAATTTAAAAAGACTCAGTACAATACGTAATAAGGAACAACGAGAAAGGAACTTAACATAGATAAGTTTTTTATAAATAAATTCAGTAAATGTATGATGAATCATACAAGTACAAAAGAGGCAGTCCAACCAGCCTTTGCATTGGAATACATTAGTATATATTCATGAATAGAAAGTTACTTACTAGTCCTTCTTCATTATTCGTACAAAGTATGATGACGAAAAAATAAGCAAAGACGAAGATAACACTGAAATCACACGCGTATCTTACACACACACACACACACACATATATATATATATATATATATATTATCCACAATGTCATATGCACAACTACAACACACCCAACAATCACTGCAATTACTGTCGGAAGTACAACAACAGTAACAAGTCAGAATACTATTAGTTTGAGGAAGTAGTCTCCTCTTGATTCCGGTGAGCTCATGATTAACATCCAGTGTAGCTAGGACTTGTGTCTTTGAAATCGACAGCATATTGTAACGACCCGACCGGTCGTTTTGAGCTTTTGCACTTTGATCGCCAGTTCTCGGGCATGACTTGCTCCGTAAAATGTATTATGACTGATGTGGATCGTTGGTTTTGGTTTTCAGGAAAATTTGGAATGAATTTGAAAGAACAGTTTCAGTTGAAAGCTTGGAGTTTGAAAGGTTTGACCAAGAGTTGACTTATTTGTATACGAGCTCGGATCGGAGTTTTTATGATTTGGTTAGCTTCTCTGGGTGATTTGTGACTTAGGAGCGTTATCGGAATTGATTTTGGAGGTCCGGTGTAGAATTAGGCTTGAATTGGCGAAGTTAGTATTTTGGCGATTTCCGGTTGGTAGGCGAGATTTTGATCCGGGAGTCGGAATGGAATTCCGAGAGTTGCTGTAGCTTCGTTATGTGATTTGTGATGTGTGTGCAAAATTTCAGGTCATTCGGACGTCGTTTGGTTGGGTTTTTGATCAAATGCGTGTTTCGGAAGTTTTTGGGAAACTTAGGCTTGAATTCGATGTGAATTGATGGTTTTGGTGTTGTTTGAGGTGTTTTGGTGATTGGAACAAGTTTGAACGAGGTTTTAGGATGTGTTGGTGCTTTTGGTTGAGGTCCCGGGGGCCTCAGGGTGATTTCGGATGGCCATCGGGATGGATTTTGGATTTGTGTCACGACTCCAAACCCGGTCGTGATGGCGCCCAACACTAATGCTAGGCCAGCCCGACCATTTACTCTCTCAACCCGAGCACAGAGCTCAAAACCAATTAATCAGATACTTAAAATCAAATATTAATACTCATAGTTGAAATACTCAATTAAAACAATGCGAAATACTGACATAAACTGTAACTCCCAAAGACCTGGGGTCATGAGTCTAGAGCCTCTAACTAATACAGAGTCAAAAATCCTCAAAATAAGTATGTTCTAAAGTACGAAAATAATAAAGGGATAAGAGAGGAGTCGGGTCCTGCGGACGTCATAGCAGCTACCTCGACCACTCCCGGAACTCTGGAAACCAGCGACTAGCTCAACTAAGCTCCCGAAGTACCTGAATCTGCACACAAGGTGCAGGGAGTAGGGGGTGAGTACTACCAACTCAGTGAGTAATAAGCGTATAAAATGTCTGAAGATAAGAAATCCACGAAATGCCACAAAGTAAAGCTAAAACTAACAGTCCAACACCTAACTACGAACCATCAGCAAAACAACTTCGAATATATTAGTCAAGTATAATGTAAGGATGCAATGCAATGCACATGACCGCTACGGCGCGTAGCCCGATCCATTTAACGTCGACGACGCTCATTGGGGGTGTGTACAGACTCCGGAGGGGCTCCTTCAGCCCAAGCGCAATATAATCATACCATTCGCTGCGGCGTGCAGCCCGATCCATACTCAGTCCACAACATGCATATGAGTCACGTAACAGATTCAATTAATTTCCCAATTTCCAATTTATTAAGAAGAATATACTTTAGATATTTGACTTCAGGAAAAGTGACTTAGCATTTCATAATAGTGATTAAACACAGGACTGAGATCAATGATTATACAAAGCAGGCTATCACAATGACATTCATCCTCTAAGGATGCTACAGATCGGCACAAGGCCCCAAACACGGCAATAAGCCCAGATATATTCAATACAGGGTGCGTATCAGTCGCCAATATAGAAACATTCTTGTTCGGGATGGACTAAGTCTCAATCCCCAGTCATAACTAATCCCGCACCTGCCATGGGGTGCGAGTCACGCCCTACAATAGCGTCACAATGTGATAAGCCGGGGTTTCAAACCCTCAGGCCATCATATACACCAACTACTCACCTCTAACCGGCCGTAGAATGGTCCGCAATGCCTTTTCCTTTCGTATCGACCTCCTCGCGCGTCGAATCTAGTCAAAATCATAACGAATACATAAATATGGGGTAAAGAAACATAACCCAATCAAAAATACTCGAAAAGTACTAAAATTCACGAAGTCGGCAAAACCCGAGCCCCGGGCCCACTTCTCAAAAAATTCCGAAAATCACACCAACGGATTCCTTGTCTCGCCACGAGTCCGTGCATATAAAGTTTACCAAAATCGGAGCTCGTTTGACTCTCCAAATTCCATTTTTACATCACAGCTTTCCAAGCCCTAGCTTGACCCTTTTTTGATGAAATTCTACTGATTTCTATGATAAATGTACCATAAACTCGAGTAATTAGGCCAAGAGACTTACCTCCAAGTGATTCTCAGTCAAAACCCTCGAATTTCCTTGTTCAAAGCTCTTAAGAACGTCAACAATGGAGGAAAAATATGAAAGGGTCGCGGATGAAATATTATTTTAAAACCCTTCTGTCGCCCAGCCTAGTTTTCGCTTCTGCGGTCCCGCTTTCGCTTATGCGGGACCGCTTCTGCGGCCACATTTCCGCCTTTGCGATCTTCACTTAGAAACCCGGACTTCTCTTATGCGACGCGAAGTCCGCTTCTGCGGTTCCCTCAAAACCGCTCCTGCGGTACAGTGTCCGCTTATGCGGACCCGCTGGTGCGAGCCACCTTCCGCTTCTGCGGAATTTCCCTAACCGGCCAACGACCGCTTCTGCGACCACGTACCCGCTTCTGCCGTACCGCTTCTGCGGTCCATTTCCGCAGAAGCGGAAACACCAGATGACAGCAAAAAATCTGACCTGCAATACCCCTCAAAACTCTCGTTTAACCACCCAAATTCACCCCGAGGCCCCCGGGACCTCAACCAAAAACACCCATACATCCTAACACCTCATTCAAACTTGTTCTCATCCTCAAAACACATCAAACAACGCTAAAACCATCAAATCACATCGAATTCAAGCCTAAGTTTTCTTAAAAACTTCCGAATTACGCATTCGATCAAAAACCCGACCTAAACACCTCCGAATGATCTAAAACTTTGCACGCATATCCAAAATCACCTAACGGAGCTACTGCAACTCTCGGAATTCCATTCCGACCCTCGGATCAAAATCTCACCTACCATCCGGAATTCGCCAAAATCCAACCTTAGCCAATTCAAGCCTAATTCTACACCGGACCTCCAAATTCAATTCCGATGGCGCTCCTAAGTCACAAATCATCCACCGAAACTAGTCGAATCACCGGAACTCACATCCGAGTCCTCTAACTACATAGTCAACTTCCGGTTGACTTTTTCCAAAGC